TGCTATTAGTAAAATTTAACAAGGAACATTTTTAATTAGGCCGCAGAAGGTGGTTTCTTAATTAAAATTTCGAGTTACTTCAGTTTATTTGTAAAAAATGGTTTCGCTTCGTTACACCTGATCCTGAAATTTGATTGGCCAAAAATCACGGGAGGGGAAATTTTTGTGGGTATCGGTTCCGTCAATAACTTTAATACGTATACAGTATATGAACGAGATTCCAATCAATCATTTCGAATGATTCAAATATCACACATCTATCTTTTTTTCTATCTTTTTTCTATCTAGTACAAGTCATTCTCGTTATAGTATAGTGAAGATAAATTCAAAACCAGTCTACATAAAAATCCTCTCGATATGGTGAATTTACTAATAACCTCTCGATATAATGAAAATTTTAAAAATTTTTACTATGGAAATGACTACTCACTATAACGAGTTTGACTTGTATATCTAAAAAAAATAGATCTTCGTGAAAAATACTCTTAAAATATATGGACAAATAATAAATCATACGTAAGAAAGCATAGCGAAAACAATTAATTGACCGACTAAAACCCACTAACTTATACTTGTTTATTATAAATTCTACCCCTAAACTCTAACTAAAAAAAAATGCACCCAAAAATTTGTATTTTTGGTGGATTGTCTATTTGACGCTTTCACTCATTTTAATCAGGGCACAAAACAAATCTGAAATTTTCCGTTTTTTATAATAAAAGGCATATTACATCCCCCGGAAATTTTGTTAATCCGTCACTTTACAGGTTTCATAGCGATAAGTTCAACTAACTTAATTAGGGTTAGCAAGTTTGTTATCTAAAATTAGCAAATCAACTCGAGTTTGTACTATTTAAATATTTATCGACTTTCACATCATAATTTGAACATACCAAAATGACTTCTCATGAAAAAAATCAGAAGCAATATCGTTTCGAAACACTTCAACTTCATGCTGGCCATACCCCAGATTCAGCAACTCGGGCTAGAGCAGTCCCAATTTACGCTAGCGCCTCTTATGTGTTCAAGAATACAACCCACGCTAAAAATGTTTTTAGCATGGCTGAAGAGGCGTTTGCTTATAGTAGGTAATCACTTAAGGGATACCATATTATATATAAACTGTTGATTATAGTAAGATCTAAAAAAAAATTTTTTTTATTCTATAGAATGTCAAATCCGACAATGAGTACATTTATCTATTTACAAAATAATTGAACTTTTACAGTGTGTATACAGATAATTGTTGATTTTCAATTTGTTAAATTTAGAGGTATTTGAAAACAGAATCGCTGCTTTAGAAGGAGGTACTGGTGCCCTTGCCACATCTTCAGGTCAAGCCGCTCAATTTATCACAATTGCTACAATTTGTGCTACGGGTGACAATATCATATCTTCGAGCTATCTTTATGGTGGCACTTATAATCAATTCAAGGTTTTTTCACTTAATATACTATGATGAATAGTTCTTTGTTTATCTAATAATTTTATTTTATTTATTTTTTATTATAGGTTACATTACCACGATTAGGAATCAATGTAAAATTTGTACATGGCGATGATCCGCAAGATTTTGTCAAAGCGATTGATGAAAATACTAAAGCTATTTATGTTGAATCCATGGGTAATCCAGCATTTAATGTTCCTGATTTCGAGGCGATTGCGAAAGTGGCCCATGATGCGGGTATCCCTTTAATTGTTGATAATACATTTGGTGCTGGTATGATCCTTCAAACATTCTATATTATCTGTCTCTTCTATACTTTAATTATAAATACTGTATAATTAAAAATATATTTTCTAACCATTTGCTTTTATTTTAATATCATGATTCATCAAAGCCGGTTATTTAATACAACCAATTAAATACGGTGCAGACATTGTAGTTCATAGCGCAACAAAGTGGATTGGTGGCCATGGAACAACTATAGGTGGTGTAATAGTCGACAGTGGTAAGTTCCCTTGGAATAACGGTAAATTCCCATCTTTTACCGAACCAGCTCCTGGATACCATGGTTTGCGATTCTGGGAAGCATGCGGATATCACTCCTTCATTGTTAAAGCACGTGCGGAAATCATGCGTGACATAGGTGCATGTCAAAATCCATTTGGTGCTTTTCTTCTTTTAGAAGGTATTGAAACTTTATCATTAAGAGTTGAAAGACAAGCAGAAAATTCTTTGAAATTAGCAAGATGGTTAGAAACTTTGACAGATGTTGTAAACTGGGTTTCGTATCCGGGACTTGAGTCCCATCCATCTCATACGAATGCTAAAAAGTATATGAGAAATGGTTTTGGATGTGTGCTATGTTTTGGTGTTAAAGGTGGTGATAAGGCTGGATGTTTATTCATAGATTCGTTAAAGCTTGTCAGGTAAGCTTCTGTACAGTACATATACTTATATTAATCATTCGTCAATATAACAATTTCTGCCATATAGTTATCTGGCTAACTTAGGTGATGCAAAAACCTTGGTAATAAATCCCGCGCAAACAACTCATCTCCAACTTACCGATGAAGAACAAATATCATCAGGTGTTACTAAAGATATGATACGTGTTTCTGTTGGATATGAACATATTGATGATATTATAGCTGATTTCACGCTTGCATTCGATAAAATTAGAAAAGCTAACAATAAAATGTAATGAATGATAAATTGTATTCATTATTGAGCATGAAACCAACTATGTTTTAGTGACATAATTATAGGTTATTTATGATTTATTAAATAAAACTATCATTATGGCATTGTCTTGTGATATAATTTCTTTAATTCTATAAATATAACTAGGGTTGAAAATTGAGCGGGTGTTTAATTTTTTTTTTTTTTTTTTTATTATAAAAAATCATTTTTATATACTCTAATTAAACAAAAAAAAAAGTATATTAGCCATGCAAATTAATTAATTATTGCGCTTTGCAAAAAGATGGCATGGAAATCGGATATTCTGTAGATTTTAATCTTACCAATTTTAAATAAATATAAATAAATATAAATATAACTGATCGAAAATATGAATTAATAGACAATTTAGAATCTCAGAAATTTTCCTCGTTCATCATCACAAAAATCATGGGGCCACATCTTTTTGCAAAGCGCTATAATCGATTAGTTATAACTTACAATTAATCGAAAAATCAATTAATCGATTAATTTGCAACTTAACAATTAATCGATTAGGTGTGATTTGTAACATTACCATTTAAGCTGTATTTACGCTAATAATAAAGAAAATAAATACATATTCGCGGTATGTAATAAAATACACATTTATTTAATAAAAATTTAGCCTCATTTAAATTTTTAATTACTAGTTACTGAGGTTCGGACCTGGATAAAAACTGCTGTTATATGATTATCCGAAATATAATACATATAAGCCGGATAATAAATAGTATCCAGTGAGGGATTTTCTCAGGTATATAACAAGAAATTTTTAACTATTAATTAGAAACAAAAGATAAAACTTTGGATTGTACAGCTTCAGCAATTCTATCACCTAATAGCCAATTAACAGAAGCAAGAACTTTAGCATCTAAACCAACATAATAAGTATTTTTTGGATAAAGGGCAGTTAAAGCATGTAATATGGCATCAGCTGCAATTTCAGTAGGGGAAGCTCTAAAATTTTCACTACATTTTGCAACGGCTTTATACAATTTTTCATATTCGACGATAGCTTTTGAATTATCTTCTTGTGAAGTAGAATAGTAATCAGAGAGAGAGGAGAAAGATTTAAAATTACGAAAATTAGATGTTGTTTGGTCATTCAACCTGGAAACGATGATGCCTAGGAATAGCGATAGTAAGCAAACAATCGATTAGAATACATGTATATATAGGATTGATAAAAAAAGGGGATCAATTTTTATACCCCCACATTTAATATTCATTGAATTTGGTCAGGTAGGAGCCAAGATATCTTCGCTCAAAGTTAAAAAAAAATATCAAAAACATTTATCAAAACAAAAGCTATGCCAAATTTTTTAAAACTTTGAACGAAGATGTCTTGATAACTACTTGACCAAATTCGATGAACTTTTTTTTATTTGAATTCTATGGATTTATAGAATTAAAATAAAAAAAAGTTCATCGAATTTGGTCAAGTAGATATTAAGATATCTTCGCTCAAAGTTAAAGAAGAATCAAAAACGTCTATCAAAACAGAAGCTGCGCCAAATTTTTTAAGACTTTGAACGAAGATATCTTGACAACAACTTGACTAAATTTGATGAACTTTTTTTTATTTAAATTCTGTGGACCCATAGAATTCAAATAAAAAAAGGTTTATCGAATTTGGTCAGGTTGTTGTCAAGATATTTGCATTCAAAGGTTTAAAAAAATTTGACGCAGCTTTTGTTTTGATAGACGGTTTTGATTTTTCTTTAACTTTGAGCGTAGATATCTTGATATCTACTTGACCAAATTTGATAAACGTTTTTTATTTTAATTCTATGAATCCATAGAATTCAAATAAAAAAAAGTTCATCGAATTTGGTCAAGTAGTTGTCAAGATATCTTCGTTCAAAGTTTTAAAAAATTTGGCATAGCTTTTGTTTTGATAGACGTTTTTGATTTTTCTTTAACTTTGAGCGAAGCTATCTTGACTCCTACCTGACCAAATTCGATGAACTTTTTTTATTTAAACTCTATGAATCCATAGAATTTAAATAAAAAAAAGTTCATCGAATTTGGTCAGGTTGTTGTTAAGATATCTTCGTTCAAAGTTTTTAAAAATTGCTATTTTTGCTGGGGGGTATGAATTTTAAATGTGGGGGGTATAAAAATTGATCCCCTAAAAAAGATAAACATAATATAGAATAGGTACATACCAGGTTCAATTAAAGCAAAGTGTACGCCCATTTCTCTAGTTTCCATTCTCCAAATGCGGGTCATAACTCTAACAGCAGCCTTAGTTGCAGAATAAATACCCATAACAGCTGAATTTTCCCAAGCTGCAATGCTACCTATGTTAATCACACGGCCACCACTTTCCCGTAAGAGAGGTAAGAATTTTTTTGTAAGATTAACAATACTAAAATAATTTGTGTTAAAACTATTTAAAAAAGCATCTTCCGAAGCAATTTCCATGGGTAAATAGACAACTAATGCAGCATTATTGATTAAACCAACGAAAGGAATTTCATGACCAATGGTTGATTGAATATGATCATACGCATTTTGAATATGTTCTTTATTTGTCACGTCTAAAATAATAGGAATAAGACGGCCTTCTTTGGGATTATCGCATTCGCGAAAGGCAGCAATAAGATCATCAACATCATCCTTTTTTCTGACACCAGCGAATACAGTGTACCCAAGTTTCGCAAGAGTAAAAGCAGTTTCACGACCAATTCCAGCTGAGGTACCAGTTATGAGAACAGCAGGATGATAATTTTGAGTGGGAACATGAACTTGAAGAGGTTTCTGTCTAAATAAAAAACAAAAAAGGTTGTTGAAAATAGAAGATATATAGTCTAAAAGAAGACTAAGGTGGATAAACACTTTGTTGAATAAGACGTCTGGCATTTTATTTGTCTAAAGAGAAAAGTTTTTAATACATGCCGATACACAATCATGCATAGCAGTACTTAAGTACTGTAGATGGTCATATAAAAGATCCTCCCGAATACTATGGTAGACCCACAATGTACTAGATCCGAGTGCAGATCTCAGGATCTTTTACCCGTATTGTCGCCAGGGGTGTAATTTCAAACTTTGGCCTAAAATAAGCTTAATTCAGGTCACTATTCGAAATAACGTTATTTCGCGAAAATATGGTATTTGAAATGTAGTTATTTTCAAACATCTAGATGGCATATAAACCCTCAACCATGTGCTGTACCCAGGTTTCCTGAGTATTGTATATTGCTATTTACGGTATATATATGCGTATAATATATCATGAGATTTCACATGAGAATCTTGTATTCATCGATAATATCGATTGCAGGGACAAATATTATTGCATATGTAGTTTGGGGAAATTTCCAATAATATCTTAGTATTTATGTGATAATAAAAAATCAAACCATCAGAATCTATATGGTATTTATTATAAATTCACCATGAGTTTTACCATAAGTTCGTCATGAGCTTACCACGAGTTCACCATGAATTTGCTATGAATTTTTACAAATTGGAACATAAATTAGACTATTTAGGCCATGCAAATTAAATTAGTTGTTTCTCATTACATGGGACAAGCAAATAGGACGGCAAAAAATGGTATATCTAAAATTTTTTTTCATATAAAAAATTTTCATAAATTTTTTTTTTTCATATAAAAAATTTTCATAAATTTTTTTTTTTCATACAAGAATAAAAAATTTTGAACTTTTCTAAAAAAAGTTACCCGGCCGGGTAACGAGAAACAACTTTATTTGTTTGCATGGCCTTATCATGATTTTTAACATAATATAAATGATTTTTAATAAGAGTTAGATGTAACTATATAAGATACAGTACACACTTTTATATCACTCAAAGATCAGTCAAAATCTGATTGATTAAAAATTTGAGCAAGTTAAACTTTGCGCAAATTGCATAACTTGCGCGAATTAAATGTTTAATTAGGTAGAGATGAGGTCACCTCGCGCTTCGCGCGAAGTCATACGATTTATTGAATAATGGCCCGAATTAAGTTTAATTTAGCCAAATTTTGCTTTATTTCGCGAAAATAGGTAAATAATTTTTTTTTATTAAGATCGCACATAATCAAGATAGGTAAATGATCTAACAAGGTCGATATCCGTTTCTAGTAATAATTAAAGATTCCATAGGATGAAACATGGGTCTATACTTATTAATCTTACTGTCTTGAATGTTTTCAGTACCTGTAATACCACCTTTTATAAACTCATCCCATGTCACCCACTCCCAACATTCACATTTGTTTGGTTCCATTACCTATAATCCCAAGGCACAATATTAAAAGATGAACATTTTGATAAATTTTATAATGTTGTAATAAACTTGAACGTAATTGATAAAAGAACATGCAAATATTACCAAAGGATCAGCTCCCATATCAACAACTTCAGCACGCATAAAAATAGCTACATAATGCTTATTGTCATTTATCATTACATCGTTTGTTGTAGTCTGATAAATCACATTAGTGATTTCAAGATTTGTTTCCTCAAGTACTTCGCCTAAAGAATACAAAGTTCAGATGAAAGAAATTCAAATTATTGAATTTCAAAAATATATACGTTTTGCACAGTCTTCAAAGGATTCACCGAATTCTAACTTTCCTTTAAATAGAGTTTTTAAGAATGAATTTGTTGAATATTTGATGCTTGTGCAATTGATATAATTTCATACCACCGGGAAGCTGCCAAGATCCTTTCATTATTATTTATAAATATTAAATTTGAGAAATAATATTCATTGTCAAGAGTTGATACAAGATATCAGATAAATACCGGATCCATGACTTCCTTTTCTTTTACCAATCAGGAATTTGTTACCTCGCATCACAAATGTTCCGACGCCAACTAATGGATGTGTACACTCAGGCATTTTTCTGATTGTTATGGAAAATAAATCGAATATTGTAAGGTCAGAAAGAACAAAGAATATCGATATTGTTGTGTCATAAATCATGTGAATATTTATTTGTCAACATTCGCCTACCAAAAATAATTGAATCAATTGCAGATCATATCGATATAGTAAAAAGAACCCAAAATTTATATATATATATATATTGAACCGAAACTTGCATTTAGCACACTCACTTTGAGACTGGTCTCTATTACAAATGAGTCCTTTCTTTGATCATGAAACAATTTGCCTTAAAATATTTAAAAAACCTAGAAATGCGGATTGAGTTAGAAATATCAATACGGTTAATTTTGTTTTGCAAGTTTATTAAATCATTTCAAATCATTTCAAATTTAGCTACTAAATTGGAAATTCCTAATAACAAAAAAGTCTCACCGATGATTAACCTTGACATTAATATACTAATGCGATTATATAATACACGATGTTCACATTTTGTTAATAATGTTTCATTTTTCAATACTTTTATTCATAAAAAAAATTATCTTTACATCCTAATAAGATCTATAAATACTAAAGATATTAATATAATTATCGTTATCATACCGATATCGATGCACTATACAATTGTTGCCTTATTAAAGTTCAATAATCCTAAACCACGTTACCTTCAATAATTATGCACCGGTACTGCATAATACTTGTTTATATAATCTATGCTTACTTGTTGCGTCTTTATTAGCGATCAAAAAACACTTTACTATTATTTATGGTAATAACAAACTCGGATTTTATGAAATCTTAGCCACAATTAGTTGACTACATTTGGTATGTCAACCAATGAAAATGATTGATCTTTCTCATAGAGGAAAACAACGAAAAAAAAAACTTTACGAATTTGACAAACGTAGACAAAACAGGTTGGCATGTTCTGCAGATCTTTACTTTATTGATGGCTTTTTACTAGCGTAACTCTTGATTCCACGTCTGGTACTAAAAAAATGTATTTTATGAGAACTCGTTTCGTTATATTGTTTGACCTTTTTCTAGTTTTTTTTACGTCTATGCCGAGTTTAATTTCTAAAACGGCTTTCTTTTATATTTCTCTTGATAGACGGTCAAAATCCATTATTTATGCACATATTTTACCCCTTGTAATATATCCCCTACATTTCATGACTTAATAATAAATACGCATTTTTAAACATCAGTCGTTATTAACTTTTTTGCAAAGTCTCCTTAACCCCTATCTGTCCCCCTAAAGCAGCCTACGGAACAATAGCAACACGTACACGGAAACATTCTAATAACTCTGTTCTTTTATAATCCAATAAAAAAGCGTTACGAATTTTCATCATGTCTCGGTTAATCTTTTTTATTCCTTTTAAAATAATTCTTTCAGAATTAATAAATTTGACTAGATTATTTCACATAATAATATATCATCGTACCCATTTATTCTTGTTATTATGTATCTTGACCTTTACGTCTCTTGATCCGGTGAATGCGACGTTATTATTGTACGATTCATCTAACATTGAGCTGGCCTCTTTAACAAATACTGATTTCCCATTTCTGGATAGTTTAAATAATAATCCTCTTTCTAATTATTATAAGAATGGTGTAGTTATTGAAGGAAGATTGGAAATCGCAAAATTTAATGTAATTACTAATGATGATAATTTTACAATTAATGATGGTCCGTGTACGCTTAGACCTATTCCTGTGGGAATAGATCTGTTGGTAGTTCCTTTTGATGTGATTCAACGATTTGGTTGTAATTTTATTGATGATTTCATCTCAAGGTAAAAAAAATATATAAATTTCATATTACTTACTGTATAATTGATATATTATTCTGATGATTACAATATTTAATTATAGAAACATATGGATAACTAATGGTATAATGTCTCCATCTGGTAGTAATCAATCTAGTCTACCTGATGGTTCGACAATTCTGCCTAATGGAACTATTGCTTATTCTGCTAATAATGTTGGCGTAAAAAGTCGTAATGAAAATAATGGACAATGTAAATATTTTATCTCAAAATCTTCTTATGAACGACGGTCAATTAATCGTAATTCATTACAAAATCAAAAACGCGTCAACATTCATAAAAGAGATGTTTCATTCAATATTAATGATTTACTTCCAAAAGTTATTGCTTTTACTTCGTTGAATGGTGGTGATCCTGGAGTTAAGGAACTTATATATAATCGTGACTTGTTACGTAACGCTAGTGTAGGTTTGACTTTGCTCAGAAAAGATGATACGACTTTGATTCAATCTTTGTATGCAAATATTGATCATATTAAACTTACTTCGAGTATGCACCTACTCTATAAATTTAATAATCTTTACTTTTTTATTTTTATTTTTTTTTGCTAAAATATTTTTTTCTTTCTAAAGATATTAGTCCATGGGTGCTTTTACTGCAAAGCAGTTCTTGGGCTGCGTGGTCTATAGTATGGAGTATTATCTACAGTGTTTTATTCGTTACGACCTGTATAATAATGTATTATATCTTTGGATCTTGGGATCCAGGAAACCTAAACATTGTTATTTTACCTGCTATTTCATTTTGTTCCCTTGGTATGTTTATTTTGTTGTAAATGTATATACTGTACTTTATGCATTTCTGACTCTTTTTTTATTCGCGATTTTAGCATCGTCAATAATCTTACAAATTGATCCAAATGGTATAAGAGAAGATCGTTTATCGATAACAAGTTATAAATTTATCATAGGATTAAGGTTTGCTTCATTATGCATATTTTATATCATGTTACAATTTTTATGGTAAGTGAATCAATAAACATTTTTTTTTTGTCATTTTAAATTTCACTTATTTTTGCTTAAAGAAATTATTATAATTTTTTTTAGGGTAAAAGCAGCCAGAGAAATAACCAGATACGATACTCGCCTATTACCATTTATTCGAATATTTTCAAATGTTCAACGCCTAATCTTATACACATCCATCCTCATAATCCTAATTTCGACGTTCCTAAAAATCTTAAATCAACCATCTACAAATTCACAATTATTAAATTCTTCAGTTATATTAGAAATTATATTTATTGTAATAGTAAATTTAGGTTATTTCGTATTTGGAATTATTATGATTTGGGGATTAGCAACAAGTAGAGAAATACATCAAAGGATTGGTGAAAATTTGATTTATAAGTTTTCTAATAAAGGTGACAAATGGAAAGCTGGACGGGTAATTTATCAAATAATTATTACGCTTTTATTATTTATTTATTTATATTTATTTAATTCATTTCTATTTATTAGGTTGTATTAATAATGTGTATCCTAACGATACCATTTTCTTTCCTAACCCTTTCGGATGTATTTTGTTCAAATTCTGTTCCTACTATATCAAATTTTTGGAAATCAAGGGTAGGTAGGTTCTTTTTTTTATTTAACCCTTAAGAAATTCAAAATTTGGTAATAATTTAGACTTTTATTTATATAGATAACTGAAGATTTATCGACTTGCATAACATTATCCTCTTTCTTATTTTTACTTCGTGTCCGAAAATTTTCTTGGTTTTTGGTAAAACCAACTTCAATATTATTAGCAAATTTAAAACTTGACAAGAAAGATGGTAAAGGCATGTTATACCCATCTGTTGATGAAGAAGATGAACGTATAAATTCTGCTGCTTATACTACACGTATTGCTGTTGTTCGACCTGAACCTACCTATCGAATGAATCCAAATAGAATTGATGTTGACCTTCAATTTGGTAATTATACCGTGAGAGATGATAATGAAAAAATTATGAATAATCGGAATAGATTTTTAGAAGTGGATAGAGAATCACTAGGAGAAAAAAATATTATAAAAGATAAGGATCTTTCAAAAGGTTCCACAAAATCAAAACCTAATAATGGTAGTAATGGAAATGGTGGAAAAAGTGAGTCAAATAAATTTGATATTATTGATTTATAAAAAATAGTATATGTAAATTTGGTATAAAAACATTATAAACAATTCAAAAAAATAGTCTTAATTAGTTATTGTATTAATTTATTAGTCGTAATTACTGAATTAGGGTGGTTTAGAATAATTTTAGTAAGATTAGATACATAATTATTAGACGTCAGTAGACAAAAAGGTTATTAAATGAATTTTATTATTATTAATAGTTAATATGTACTTTTCAAAAAAAATTTCCTTAATAATTGAAATGTATAAAATTTGTATTATTATTTTGCTACATTTACTGTGAGACGCGTCTATGGTATTATAAATTGGGCTAAATTTAAGTTTGGAAAGGGTTTTGAGTATAGACCATTTTATTTAGATCATAACTAATTAATGCACGCATAGGTGTAAATACCATAGACGCATTCTAGTATAATCTTTTATTAAATAAAACCTCTTAAAAAATTTCAAGTTAAAGTAATTTTCTTGGTCGAAAAATTTAACATCATTCACAGTTAATACAATTTATGAAGTTTATACATGTTAATATGAATACATCAAGTATAACTATAAAATCTTACTAACTATTTTACCGCATGTCCGTCTATTGATTATAAACCTATCCAACTTGACCTTCCTAATGAATTATGTATTGCTGACGGACCAAACGAAACTGTCTCATAACCTAATGGAAGAGAAGGATCAACGCACCACTCGTACCATACTTTATGGGAATTTGTTAATCTCCAAAAATTTATGTCAAGCTTCGTATTGGAAGGTAGATAAATTGGTATCTAATGTAGAAATAAATAAAACAGTAACGTTAAGTCACACATAATTACTATTTTGTGAAAAAAATGATATATACCTTTAACGGGAAGAAAATAGGAAACCAGCTAAGCATATCAATAGAATGTGTATCTGGATGAATGCTCAGCATGATATCCTTGTATAATATCGATTCAAAATATCCAGCAATACCATGTAGTATTCCGGATTCTCTTACGTTAAAGGTCACTTTTGAGTACCGTGTATTATGATAATTATTGACAGGGTTTCCTATTAAATATAAAAAATTAATGAAATTTGATAAATCATATATTAACATATTGTCATTAAAATGCATGACCAACCATCCTCGTCAACCGCAATGTTTCTATTCGGGTGTTCAAAACTCCAAATCTGACATGGCTTGGCCAATTCACAAGCAGATTGAAACATAACAACATACGGAGTCTCAAAATGAGCTAGATCTTTATATGCTGCAACCTCATTGTGAAGTTTTGATGATGAAATCGGTGAAATAAAGGCGGTGTAAGAAGCAGGTATTGATATACCATCAGCTTAGAATGTATCATAAAAAACCAATGTCAGACAATTATGTTTATTTAAAATATAAAAATATGTATTATGTACAATTTAAAATTTCCTCCAATAACAATACCTTTCAAAAATTTTTGTGCACCATCTAAACATTCAGGTGACAATTCGTTATCACCAAATGAACCTAGAAGCTCGCTAACTAGTATATCAGCCTTTATATATGTGTAAAATTGAAAATTAGTTAACACATTTGAAAAAGTAAATAATATAGAAACATTTACTAACTTTTTCTGGAGCTTTCCATAATCGCATATCAGAAAACACGATTGTTACTTTATCTCCCCATATTTCTGTTTTCTTATTCTGTAAACTAAAATTTATAAAAGTTAAAAAAAATAATGTTATAAGGCTGTTCTTGTGTAATCAAGATGAGCTATAATTTTGTAATGGCATACGTGACAAAAGCGCTAGGATTCTTTTCAATGGCATATACCCTAACCCGTTTTTGTGCTTTCTCTGCCGCTTCTAAGCTACGCGTGACTAAAGGCCCACGCCCTGCACCAACAACCATAATAACTCTAAATATTATATCATAATAATAAATAATAAGAGTTAGGATTAATAAATATTAATGCTTTCTTAATTCCCTATTATAAATGAAGACAATCAGCATTACATCATTTCCTCTGATCCGGTATTATGATCCAGAAGGGCATGATGTATTGCCTGTAAAATATATTAAATTATCAATGCATGTAAGGAATTATCTAACACAATAAATGAGTCAAATCGAAATCAAATACTTCGATTGATCCGGATAGATTGCCAAGTTCAATAAAATCCAATTCTTACATCTCATACCTTCTCGTATAATACATATTTTGTGGAATCTTTTTCGAAAACTTCGTAAGTAGATGACTCTAAATTGTCCATCAACGGCTGTCATAATTCAGATTAAAAAAAAATCAGCATTATTATTAAACAAAATGTCTTGTGAGTAACCAAAAATGAATTACCTGTAAAGGAGATTGCAGAAAATCATGATATCCTAACGCAAATTGTTCAACCGGAGTCAACTCAGGCATTGTGCGATGTAAGTGATGCACATATTCTTGATATGCAGAAAGCCCACCGCTTGCGTGGTTAGGACCATCTGCCGCACATTCAATGACAAAATGAGGTTTATACTACACCAATGAATTATAATTAGTAGTTGTTTACTAAACAAAGAATCCTGCTTAAGATTCAAACGTACTTTAATTAGTTTACGAACAAAAGTCTGATGCCTTTTGCTTAACACAGGAAATCCTTTAGCATTAGACAAAAAAATCGTTGTTGGCAAGAAGATAGCTTTGATTGGTTCAGCAAACCATCGATCAAGTATATTATCTTCAGGAAGATTTTGGGTCACTTCTAAAACTGCAAATTACACAATAAAGTAAAAAAAAATAAATATAAGCGTGGAGTGCTCAATAATTACAAAGATATTCACAGAGCTAACCTATTGATAACCTGACGTGATTATCACAAAGAGTTCTAAATTTGTTCCATCGCTCCCATGTTATTGTCTCTTTCGATCCCAATGTCTCATCTTCAAGGACCAAGGGAATCTTAATCCACATCTATATAAAATAGATAAATATTAATTATTTATGGTTGATCTATTTCCAAAATAAATGGATCAAATAACAATCCATAAAATATACGTTGATGTATGGAACTGTCCCAAAAATAGAATTAATGCATCTCGCGTAATTTATGAAAGAATCAGAAGGAAACGGTATCAATGCAGCAGTAATTCCTATATGTCCGATCCATGTTAATTGTTGTCGCAGAATCTTTATAAAAAAAAATGGATGAGGACGGTTTGAACGAAAAAATGAACATCAATCCATAAATAGCTTACCACTTCTGAGTTTATTCTTATATTATGATCCGATGAATCTAAATTAATCCAGTTTGAAATTTGGCCTACCATAAAATCCGATATATCTAAGAATTTATAAAAAAATAATAATAATAATAATAAATAATAAATAAATAAATAAATTATTTCAATATGGTTGACCTTTTTAAGATTAAAATCAACACACCTGCATTTTTCACCACTAAATCTTCTCTACAAAACGGCTGTCCTTTCCTCCATTCTTCCATAAGTTTCGTTTCCTTAATATCAACACTATCTACAAGCTGTTCGAACAAGAAACGCCTATAATTAGGAAAGGTGATAGGAAGAATTATAAAGTCGTAGCCTAATTCACGAGCTTCAGCAGCAACCAAAGATGCGTCGGGCTCTTCCTGACCGCGACTAAGACCGATCATTATGCGAGGGTAATTCGAAACATTTGGATTACTAGTCGTTGAGGTTTCCATAATTATAATCGATGTGAAAAATTGAAGGAATATCTATATCGATATCTGCATCGATATTATCGTTATGTATTAAGATCAGATCTTACACAATGATTTGTTAATCAAATGGCCAATACGGTAATTCCGTAATCCGCAGTAAACCAATTTAGTATAATTTAATCTATGTAACTCGTACGTAGCAATAGAATTTTACAAAGGTTACTTATATTGCTGTATTGAGAATTTATTAATAATTTTCTTATACGTATCGAATATATTTATTACAGACTAATTTTGGTTAATTTTTTATACGTATCAAGAATTATCGAGGATTTCTTCTACGTTTTTATTTGTAGTAGGTACACTTATAAATTTAAATGCTAAGTACACAATACTTGGAGCCGTTTTTGACACCAGGTGGTGTTAATTTAGAGATCTCTCCGTGTTCTTTTTCATAAAATGCACTTTTTTTTATGCAATTATGTGCAAGTAAGCCCTAGAATTTAGGAGTAAGTTTTATTCAGTATTTACGTACACGAACTAGTCATCAATTTCCTTGGCCGCAAAAAGAGGCTTTGCGTATCACGTACATATGTACACAGTAACGATAAACAATAATAATTTCCTGTTTGAGCCAATCTTGTGACTTGCCCATTGCAAAGTTTATGTGCACATACATAAAAAAAAACTAGTGAAACGTAGAGTTTATGCATGCTCCCTATTAACATATATTTTAAAGTAGTGGATCGACGTGGTAGCACGGTTTTAGAGACAAGTTTTACATAAAAATCGGTCGGCTAATTCCCTTGCTTCACAATCGTTTTTCTTTTCACTTCAAAAAATTAAAGGTATTTGTTATTTTTTTTATACCCATTATTTTGTACAGTTAGCATTATAAATTTATGTTTTTTTTACTCAAATATTTTAGACTAATTTTTGTAACGTATTTAAAGAATCTGATATTTACGTAATCTAAAAAACATGGACGGAGATAAACCACCTTTTGCTAAAGAAATTGAGGATAAAGTGGGTGAAATTAAGCAAAATCTTAAGCATGTCGAAACCGAAGAAAAAATTAAGTTACCAACTCAAGCAGGTTTGTAAAAATTTATATTTTATATCAAAATATATAGTCACATGATTAACGATGAATTTCACGTTTTACATAACCCTTATTTGATTAATCTATTACCTAGATATCGAAGAAGAAAAGAAGGAATCCGATAAAAAAGATTCTTGATTTTTCTTGTCCTTTTCCTGCCAAAGCTATCTGATAATATTTGCTAGTAACAAAATATATATACAGTCAGACCTCTTTATAGTCACCTCCTATATAAGCACTTTTTTTTTATAAGCATATTTTTTAAAAAACAAACTATTATTAAACATAATAAATTTGACCTCTATAACTGTCACACTTCTCTACAATCACACATTTTTGAATCCCAAGTGTGTGATTCTAGAGAGGCTTGACTGTATTTATATCAATCAAACAATTTTGAATATGCTTTATTTCTATTAGTTGTTTTGCCATTCGCATTCTAGGATCAACGTTTAATGTTTCAACGTGTTCCTTTAATGTATTTGACAGGCAAAATCATGTTTTTACGAGAGATATATATAACATTAAAGCTCCAAGCGCATTAACTGAGCGTAAAGGTTTATGAAGTCATGTATAATTGATTCTTCTCTAAATGCGCAGTTTATGATATACATTCTAAGTGTTTGCTCCCGTTCAGTTCTAGGCTTATAGAACACTTGAGAAATTAATTTCTAAATGCACACCACTCTAAATACACATATTCCCAGAAGATACATTAGAAAAAGTTTACTAATAGGGCAGTTTTTTGATCTTCCGTCAGTATTTTTATCAATCCGGAAATCCGTTCTTTTTCTAGTATGGCATCTGGATGCTATCCGGATATCAACCGAACAGTTTAACGTTTAATGTCTGACATGCAAATACTAACATACATAATCGTAAAAAATTGAAACCGTTTAATTGTTTAATTATTGTTGTATGCGTTAGCTGTGTGAGGATGACGTAGTAACCCCGGAGCCTCACAGGGGATTGTATCTTATAACTCTCTAAAATGTATAAAATTCTCTGTAGTCTAGTTAACAGCTTCCTGATCAAACAGTAAAGCAGCATAATAGTAACGATATACTTTCATTAATTTCCAATATAGCTGAGTTCCTCCCGATTATATAAGGGATGCTATCTAATTCAATCCAGAATTACGGCTAGAGTCAAACTGTGCATTAAGTTGGGTTGCACTCCCAAGTAGTCGCAACCAGTGTTTAAAATTCAAATTTAAATTATGTTCTCAAAAGAACTTAATTTAAATTATTAATGTTCTCAAAAAATTTTTGAATTAATTCGGATAACCTAAATTAAAAACCCAACTTAAGATTCTTTACACCAGCTTGAGTCAAATTATTTAAATTATATAATTATTGTAGCTTTACTTAATTTTATAAAATAATTTTTAAATATCTGAATTATACAGTTCATAATAAAAATCTATAGATAACAAAATACAACTCCGATTTTGCTCAAGTTGGGCTCGGGTTCGATTCTAAATTCAACCCAAATGATCCTCTCAGTGCACTGGTTTATTAGATTGAATTATATTAAATATTTTTTGAGAACATTTTAAAGTAATAAAATATTCTCAAATAAGAGAACCTTATTTAAATATCAATGTTCTTAAAAAACACTGAGTTTTAAACAATGGTCGTAACAATATCCTTCTCGTGGTTTGGTCGCATCTGCACTTTTAAGTAAGCAAGTGTGACCAAAGCATTATGAATAAAAAGTGTGCAGTATTAAAAAATGTCATATGTGTTATCGTAAATCCTGGTACTTATGTCCGATCCTAATTTGATTTAGTAATCGAAATTTCTTTTTAGTTATTTCAGAAGTTATTATAATATCATCGCTATAAAATAAAATTTTAGAGATTGATTTCACACTATTATAGCTGTTTTCATAAATTCTTGGACAGTTGAAAAACTGCCAATGACCGAATTGATTATCGATTCGAATCGTCAGAAAATTTTTAGCTGTTCCAGAATTTATGAAAATAGCTGTAAAGCAAGCATTTTACTTATTATTATTATTTTTTTTAATATACCATCTGAATACTACCCGGATATTACGTAGATACCATCTGGATATTTGAAAGTCTAATCCACATTGCTAAAATTACAGCTGTTTTCATAAATTCTGGACAGCTAAAAAATTTTCCTATGAAATTTCAGCTATTATGCATTCTGCAATTGTTGTTAAATCCAGGGACCTTAACTTAGATCCATTCCACAAATCCGCCGATATGCTAGTAGTTCTAGCTACTAATTTACCATGTTTGTCATGGGTAACAAATAATATTTTAACCGCCTTGCCAGTAGATTAGGTTTTAAATTAGAGTTTAGAACAACAAATAAAGTGTACAAAGTAATTAGTTTTAAAAGAATGTTATTCATCAAATATGTTAAAAAAATATATTACTATTATATATAATGGTTAATTCTTTATGATCATTTTTTATATTAATTTAAATTTTAATAAAATTTTTTTAGTCAGATTATAAAAAAAAAATACTAATTGAGTAGGTTAGCCATATTATAAAAAATTATTAATTTCAAGCCTGACTAAATATTCAAACAAAAAATCTTTTTTTTTTTTTTTATTTAATAATATCGTATAAAAAAACAAGCTATTACAATTTAGTACAGTCAGACCTCTCTAAGTGCACCCTTTATAAGTGCACACCCTCTCTAAACGCATGCACAAGTGCTGCCCAAATATATACTTGATCTTTATATAAATACACTTTTTTTTATTACAGCCAGACCTCTCTAAATGCACGCCTTTGGAACCACATTTTAATAATGTGTATATAGAGAATAATAAGAAAAAGTATATTTAAAAAGATCAAGTATATATCTG